ATAAGGCTCGGTAGCAGGGTGAACAACAGCAGGCAGCTGCCTTCATGGTGAGATTTAAGGAGGAGTATGAGGAAGGTTGAGGAGGAGATAAATGGGTGGTGATCATGGAAAGAAGGAAAGGGGCAAGATGAATGGACAGTGCCAGACCTCAAAGCCCTTAAAGGAATTTTGGGTTTAAGAGGGAGACCAGAGGAAGAAGAAAGGACCAAATGCTGCGTGGGCTGACCTAAATGTGGCCCAGAAACAAATTGCTGTACTCAGTTTTATGTAGTTTTGATAGGTGTCCACCTGAGGGCACTCTGCTACACAGCTGGGAATCTTTAATTTCCGTCCCTCTCAACTGTGTAGCCTCAATTTGCTGCAGCATAAACTTAGGGTAATGTCTTAAAGAAGGGTACTCATTGAGGGTGGGGGCCAAAAGCAACTCTTCCTCTGTATCTCTTTTTCTTGAACTAGATTAATGAGTGAGCAAGACTGACTTCAGTTTAAACCCCTGGGTAATTGCAAGGATTAAATACAATAACCTCAGTTAAATCTACTTAGCATTTAGTAGGCACTTAATAAATATTAGCTCCCTTCCATATGCATGCACGTACTAACATACAGATTTGCCAAATATAGGAGCAAGAGAAGGAACATCAGGAGGAATCGCACCAACCCATTATTTCTCTAAAGGAGGCAGGACTCAGAAATCCTAAAATGAATATAAAGCGATGCCAGGAAATCATCTAGCAGAGAGCAAATTTCTGCTGCTCCTTTCATTGCATGTTGCTGCTGGTACATAATAACCAGAGGGAATAGAACACAAACAGCTGGGAAATAAAGATGAAAGCAAAACTGTATCAGCAGGGAGAGACACACAACTCCCTGAGAATCCAGCGGTATCATGAAAGATAAGCTGAACAAGGTCAGCTGCATGGAATTTCTCCTCTGAGAGAAAGATCATTAGAGTCCTGGCCATTTCTGACCATCTCTATTGGAGTCAAAGTGGAGAATGAAATACATGAGCCTCAGTTTTCAAAGTTCTTCACTGAAGTCCTGTTCCTATAATGAAGCAGAGCCACAGACAAAAGTATGCATCACTATAAGAGCAAACTGTGGAATTTTAGATGTCTGAAAACAAAAGAAACGACTTCCCCTTGCAAATGGAGCAGGCTGAGGTTTCCCCAACTCCCGAGTCCTATGCAGCATGTTTTGTGGCCTTCTACTGCCCTCTAGTGTCTTTTTAAGGTATAGTAAAACATAAGGAATATTTTTTTAAAAATTCTCCCAATAATTCTAACCAGCCAGTAACGTGACTTCGACTCAGGGCTGGTAAAACAAACAAAAAACAGTAAAATTCTAAAATAAAAGCAAAGGCAAGATTTATACAAAAATTTAAAAGTGAGTTAAATTTGGCCTCAACATAGATCTTGCATTATTTCAGGACTCTGTAGCGCATGACATCTGTATCAGTCAGTGCTCTTTTAAAATACAGATGTCTGTCATTTTCTGCACATCTCTCTCAAATGAGTACTGCCTCGGTTGGTCTGAGATAGGATCTAGAAACGTGAACTTCACAAACACCACTACATGATTCTCGTGTAGTTAAAGTTGGCTGACCTTTTTTTGAGAAGCACTAAAGATGGTTGCAATGACTTGGAGCAGAGTGGAGAGTAAATCTGATGTTTTCTTTAATTCCTGAAGAGTACAATATATTGACCAAAATAGATCAACTTTCATTTTTCCTGCAGCTCATTGCTACCTGATTAGTATATAAAAAAACAAAACAAAACAAAAACAACAACAAAAAAACACTGCTGTCCATGTATAAGTGAAGAGTTCAGGTAGTTCTCCTTTATGAATAAGCCCCTCTAAATTTCCGTAGGCATCCGTGTGGAAAAAAGAAACAATGCCTCATTGCTCTTACTCATGCTTCAACTATCCCTTAAACATTACTGCCGTAAAAAGCCTCCTAGGTGATCCCAGCTTAGTTTCAATGCTCCAGTACAGCTCCACAGTATCTTGTCCTCCGTCCTCTAAGCACTCCTTCAGTGTCATGTTCTCCTAGAGACTGAGAGCTTTCCATTGCAGAAACCCTGCCGTCTTCTTTCCAAAGTCAGTGCTATGTAAATACTCATGCTCTGGCCAGTGCTGGTAGCCACAGTTACCAAAAGTGGTGATGATGGGAGACAAGAGAATGTCAGGCCCCACAGCAGGCTGTCCTCAAACTCCCTCCAGCTGAAGGTGCACATGATCAGAAGCACCATGGGGTTGCTGTTGCCATCGGATCACATACCCAATGTATTAGAGCCCAGACTTGGCCTAATTTTAGAAACTTGCTCTCACTTTTCTGCAATGTAGAAGGTATTATTCTAAACTAATGATTAGCCCCTTCACATGGGAAATTCACAATCTTAATTGTGCTTTTTTTTTTTTTTTTTTTTTTTTTTTTTTTTTTTTTTTTTTTTTTTTTTTTTTTTTTTCCATAGAGTCTCATTCTATCACCCAGACTAGAGTACAGTGGTACAATCTTGGCTCACTGCAACCTCTGCTTCCTAGGTTCAAGCAATTCTCCTGCCTCAGCCTCCCGAGTTGCTGGGATTAGAGGTACCCACCACCATGTCCAGCTAATTTTTGTATTTTCAGTAGAGACAGGGTTTCACTATATGGCCAGGTTGGTCTTGAACTCCTGACCTCGTGATCCACCCGCCTCAGCCTCCCAAAGTGCTAGGATTACAGGCGTGAGCCACCATGCTCAGCCTCAGTTATGCTTTTTAAAAAACGCAAATACACTCAGAGTTCATTACTATGTATCTTAATATTATGTAATATGCCAATTTAAAATTCATACTGTTTTTTCTTTATATGGGCAACACCTGTCGTATCTTCAGTTATGTAACACTCAATGCTTTGACAAAAATAAACTCTGAAGTTCTTAGATGTGTAAGTATTCCCACCAGAGAGAACTCTAGACTACAATCTCCTATCACCTTCAGTTCCATCTGTTAATGAACAATAAGCAGATATTCACTTCTCAGGAGACAGTGTCCTAACTATCCAAAGAAATATAATCCATTTTCTGGCATTGCTTCTCTGGATTCTCAATGTGTAGGGCTGTGCACGCCATATGCCTCAACCAATTATAAACTCCTTTTTTTTTAAGTCATTTTAATCTCCAACAGAGTATTCCTAATTTCCAGTGACGTTCCCTTATACTTACTGAGGTCTCACCTACACAAACAGGACACTTTTTGCTTTATCTTTGGTGGCTTGGTCTGCACACTGAATTTCACAATCTCTCCCTTTCTTTCGACAATTACTACCTGAGCCCACTGTGTAAAACAGGGGCACATGAAAAATACAGAAGGAAAAGCAGTTCAATCACTTCAATCAGAGAGAAGAAGGAGAAAGAGGTTTCACCTGTTAAAAGCATTTGTTGGAATTTCATTTTATGTTTTGAGCTAAGCTATTAGATTTGTGGGTACAAATACGATCTCTTTGAAGTTAACAAGAAGCCCACTGTGAAAGAAGGGAGATGGCCATTACCACACATTTTATGTGTTGAACAAATAATGTCCTAGGATTCAAAGTATATTCTGCTAATAAAGAAAGTGAAACACTCTTCTTTCTCCTTTCACCTTATTTAGAAAGAGTATTTTTCTCTAAAAAGAGTTCGGTTGCGGCTCGGAGCAGTGGCTCATACCTGTGATCCCAGCATTCTGGGAGGCCGAGGTGGGTGGATCACCTGAAGTCAGGAGTTTGAGACCAGCCTACCCAACATGGCGAAACCCTGTCTCCACTAAAAATACAAAATTAGCCGGGTGTGGTGGTGCATGTCTGTAATCCCAGCTACTCAGTAGGCTGAGGCAGGAGAATCACTTGAACCCAGCAGGCGGCTGTTACAGTGAGCAGAGATGGTGCCATTGCACTCCAGCCTGGGCAACAGAGTGAGACTCTGCCTCAAAAAAA